TTTGGGGTTGGTATAGGGGGGTTCGTGGGGTTATTAGAGGTTCTGAACCCAAAAACAATTTTTTTAATTTTTTTTTTTTTTTTTTTTTTTTTGCAGGGTGCCGACGACCCCCGACCAGTAGGTGCCGACCAGCCGACTGGCCGGCGGGTCGGCAGCCGACCAGTCAAGGGTCGCTGACGGTGGGGTGTGCAACACTGGATGAAAGACCAAAAGGAAGAGAAAACCAGCTGATGATGATGCTTGTGGTTTTGCTGATATGGACAACATGATGATGATGATGATGATGATGATGATGATGATGTATTCAATCTAACTCTTCTAATTGACAATGTTACATTGGGGGGTGAGAAAAAGTGGCTGTGTCATTCAGCACCTGGTCAAAAATGGCAGCTTCCTGGATATTTGTCGCATTGCGGAGCTTGATCGTGGCTATACGACCATCGGGGAGTTCGCCACGATAAACAGTCCCAAGTGCATCAGTTCCAATCAGTGCCATGAATCCTTTCGTGGCTGCTCTCAACTGATCTTCACTCAACAACTGAAGATCTAGTTGCACAAGACCCCATCATTGAGACACCAAGACGGCCATGCCACCACCTCTCACTCAGACACACACAGGCACACCTGCACAATCACATGTGGGTAGTGACCCTCTCAAAAACCGTGGACTTCCTTCCTCCCCCCCAACCCACCCACCCACACATATACAGAAGCACACACATTTCACACACACACACACATACACGCGCAGGCGTACACACACACATTTCACACACACACACATACACCCGCAGGCATACACACATAGATCTCCCACAGACACACATACACGCGCAGACGTACACAGACGGATACTCGGTGCAATGCATGCATCATCACGCACACACACACACACACACACACACACACACACACACACACACACACACACACACACACACACACAAACACATTCACACAAAAACAGACAAACAGAATCAGAATCAGAATCAGAATTCCAATTTATATCAGCCTGGCTGTATAGCCTACGCTCCCTGGCCACACATGTTCGGCAATCTGAACGAGTCATGCTCTTGTTTAACGTGAATGATGTAGACGATGTACAGTGCCATACAACTCCAACTGTTTTTTTTTTTTTTTTTTCCAATCCATTGAGAAAGTTTACCTTCTCCAACCTAACATCAACCAAACCAAAGCACTGATGGGTACAGTACATTGCAACCTTCGTGAGATCCTATTACAACACGAGTATCCGACAAGCCCGTGCTAGCCTTTGCCAAGGTGGTCAATGTTCCCTCCCTCCCTCCCTTTGTCATTCCCTTCATTCTCGCCTCCCTCCCTCCCTCCCTCCCTCCCTCCTTCCCTCCCTCCCTCCCTCCCATCTGCCAATAACCTGCATATTTCAGCCTGAGATATCTGAGAGTTTCGCCATCTTTGCCTGAGACGAACACAAACTCTGAAATACTGTCTTCACCCGAATATAACACCCGGCGATTATAGCTGTATTTTACTATCTGGGTCATTTTCCAGTCCAGATGCGGCAATCATGACCGGCCGTTCTATTCGGGTGAAACGGTAGACCGAGGCAAAATGTCTTCCTGAGTTTTCTGTGTCAACATGCCATCATAGCACTTGTACAGAATTCTGCGAATATCTTTTATACCTTGATGTGTGGTCCCCACCTTTGTGTGCCCAGATTCTGATCGGAGTCTTATAGACGGTTGCAGCTGCAAGAGTCAGCAACTGTAAGGGTCAAGACTGAATTTGCTCAGCAGGAAAATGGTACAGTTTTTTATTTATTTTAATGGTACAGTTTCGGATGAACGGACACGTAACTTAGAGAGTGCAATGACAAACAGGCAAGTTCTTTCACATTGTTTTGAATCTTTTCCCTTTTTTTCTTTCTTTTTCTTTTCGAAGGGTAACAGCATCTAACACTATGTACTGGTGAGGATTTGAGGTTTGAACGCATGATCCCTCATTTACCATCAGTTACACGAGAGTACCATTCGGCTACAAGGCAGGTACACAGCAAGTTTTGTCGCTAGCCGCCCCCCCCCCCCCTCCCCCGCTTTTATGGACCATGTCTCGATATATGCGTGAAATCCTTCCACAGGGGCCATGCTAATCCTCTCTCTGTATCGTTCCAGTTTTAACGGATGACGCAACAGGCAAGTCTGTCAAAGGGTCAGCAGACTCAGCACAGATCTTCCAGGAAGACCGTGCCAGGACTGCTACCAGAAGGCACTCACAGCCACTGACGCCATCTACCAGACGTACCTGGAGAGATCTGAGATAAGGCACGTTGGGGTCCCAAGGCGCTTACCAGACAAAGCCAAAGCATCTTGGGATCCCAGCAGTGGCCTCCTAACCAGACTGCAAGGCCTGCCACTGCTGCATCTTTTTCCGGATGCAGCAGTGGCAGGCCTTGCAGTCTGGTTGGGAAGCCCTGGAGCCCATGTAGATATATACCCATAACGGATTCTGCAGCAGCTACAGATAATATTATTATATTAGACTATTATTAGTTAATTAATAATCAATAAATTACTAATTAAAACTTAAATAAAGCACATCACTGACACATCATGTCGTCCACATAAACAGAAATTGCTAAAAGTTCAAGCAGTGGAATACAAAGGACTATGCCACTTGCAGAACACTGAGAACAGCATGTTCGGTGCTGATGCTGCTCGGCAAACTCGTTGCAAGGCAAGGAGCTTGGGGACCGGGCAGCTTCGAGGCTAGATGGAGGAGGTAGACTCCTTTCCAGCAATGGAGCAAGTTTCCCTCTGTGTGTGTGTGTGTGTGTGTGTGTG